GGGGGTGGAGTGAGAGGCTGTTCCTCCCTGCTCTCCCGCCTCCCAGTACCTCGATGTGGCCCCGTTGGGCCCTGGGGGGCTGTGGGCTTTCTGAGCACTCGTCTGAATGTCTAGCTTCTCTGACGGGGGCTCCTGGGTAACGTTAGCAGAGACTCCCACGGAGGAGACGTATTTTTTTAAGGAAAAGGGAATGGTACAGTCATTGGAGAAGCACCGTGTCTCTAGAATTGTTTCCTCTTCTCTCCTCAGGGCTCTCCTGGCCGCACTGCCTCCTCCTGCTCACAGAAAGCGGTCCAGCCCGGTAAGTCATTTACACTTTAGTCATAACTAGAGTCGCTGCCGTGCGTTGAATATCTACTCTGCACCAGGAGCTCTTCTGGCTGTTTTCATCCTAAAAAGCTTTGCTTGTCCCTCTGGAAGGTATATGTTCATCTATTTATTTATATGTTTTTTAGAGAGTGGAAGGGAGGGGGGAGGGGAGAGGGGGTGAGAAAGAAACATTGATGTCTCAGTTTTTGGTTGCCTCCCACAGGCACCCTGACCAGGGGCAGGGATCAGACCCGCCACCCAGGTACGTGCCTTGACTGGGAATTGAACCCGCGACCCTCTGGTGCGCAGGCGGATGCTCTAACCCAGGGGTCCTCAAACTACAGCCCGCGGGCCACATGCAAATACAAATATTGTATTTGTTCCCGTTTTGTTTTTTTACTTCAAAATAAGATATGTGCAGTGTGCATAGGAATTTGTTCATAGTTTTTTTTTAAACTATAGTCTGGCCCTCCAATGGTCTGAGGGACAGTGAACTGGCCCCCTGTTTAAAAAGTTTGAGGACCCCTGCTCTGACCCCTGACCCATGCGACCAGGGCTGGTCCATCTATGAAAATGTGTTGTAGACGTCGGTGGCTCGACTCATTCGACAAACATCCACCCAGCCCCTGTGGAGCGCAGGTGTAGTCCTGGCTGCCGGCTCCGGGCCCTGGCAGTGTGTAAGGTGCGCACAGCGGGCGGGGGGAGCGGCTCTGGCGATTTTCACTCTTCCCCGGGGGTCTCGGACGTGGCGCCGGCACAGGACAGGGCCCTGAGCTCACAAGGTGACATTTCAGTGGGAGGGACACACGATAACCAATCAAACGCGCGGAAATGATGGCGGTCAGTGATGGGCTGTGGCCGAACAGAAGGACGGAGGGGCCGTTTCAGCGAGGTCCCAGGCAGGGGCTCTCCAGGCAGGAGAGACATCCTTAAAAATGCATCCGTCCGCTTAGGTCCGCCTCTGTGTGTGGCTACATGGGGCATTCAAGTGGTTCAAGCTCAGAACCAGGATGTGCTCCCAGGGGAGGCCTGCCCACCTCTGCTCCCGGCTCCCGGCTCCCGGCGCCGTAATCCCTGCCGCTGGCTTTTAAAGAATCGCTGGGTCTCTTAGGCAGCCACAGGCAAACATACATATTCCGTCTAAATGAGAACCGCCGCTCACAAGGGGCGCCAACACTGGGGCTGAGACCGAACGGGAAGGGCCCAACCAGGGCAGTGAGCCGCGGTGGTGGGCAGAGCTGAGGGCAGGGCACGGCCAGTGAGCGGGAGGAGAGGGGCCGTCGGCCTTTCGGGCCGGGCTCCATCCTCGGGCTGGGCTCTGCCCTTCGGGGTGGGCGCAGGTGTTAGAACCAGGTTCACGTCTTCTGGGCGAGGCTCCGCCCTTCGCGGCAGGTTGGGCTCTTTGGGGTGGGCTCTTCCCTTTGGGACAATGTCATGTCGGGTCTTCAGGGCTGGGCTCGGACCTTAGGGCGAGGCTCCATCACCCAGCTAGGCTCTGCCCTTCGGGAATGGGGAACAGGCGTGGCTGTTGGCGACTAGGTTCGGCTCTTGGGGGTGGGGGGTGGGCAGAGGGCTGTTCCAGGAAGCCACTGCTGGTTGTCAGTCGGGGTGTGACCCCAAGGGACATAGGTTTTACCAGGATCCCCCGGCTGTGTGGGGGCGAGGGCAGGTGCGGGGGGCCTGTGCCCGAGCCTGGAGCTCACGGAGTGCAGAGGTGCCAGCACACACGCACTGCATTGCCCGTGAACACCCTGGCAGCTGCTTTATGCCTCCGTGCGGAGGAAGGGCCGGAGCTCAGGGACTGGCTAGGAAGCCTGGAGGCCAGGGGCCAGGGCTGGCGGGGGAGACAGCAGACCAGAGGCCTGAGGCCCCATGGAGGCTGCAGGGCCGGGAGGGAGCTCACGCAGGCCTGGGGCCGCCCGGCTGCTTCTGTGCCCTGATGGGGCCCCTCTGCTGCTGGGCCCAGGGCTCAGGGGTGGCCCAGGCCTGTCCCTGGTCCCGGTGCACCAGCCCGGCCTCCTCTCCCCAGAGTCCTCACCCTGGGGCGGTGCGGGCGGGACCAGCAGGCAGCTTGGGGGAGAGAGAGGGTGGCCGGCCCGGAGCTGCTTGACAGCAGACTCAACCCCTCTCCTCTGGGTGCTCCCCTAAATCTCCACGGAAATGAGGCAGAATCAAAATCAGACCCTCTTCATCAGGAGAAATTACTCATTTCAAATATTTGCAGCCGCTTGAACTGAAATTGAGCAAGAAGAGGGCTTAGATGAACAATCTGGGGCCTTTTCAAAGACGGTTTGACTCAGCAGTTTTCCTGATTTCGAGCCCCGCCTCCTGCCAAGCCCCCTTCACTCAGGAGCCCCCTCCCAGCTTCTCTCTCAGGCTCCCTCCTGTCACCCCCAATCCTGGCCCATGTCCCCTCCTTTCATCTCCTTGATTTCTTTTGCTAAATTTGCAAATATTTGCCGGGTGCCTCCTGTCGGGCTCCGAGCTTGGCCTGGGCACACGGCAGTGCCAGGATGGTCCAGCCCCTGCCCACGGGGAGGCCGGGTTCCGTGGCTCAGGACCTGCCCTGTCCACAGGCAGTTCACCCGTTATTTGCCCTGCGTGGCGTTTCTTAGTATTTAAAAAATCTGCCTTTACACACACACACACACACACACACACACACACACAAACAAAGGAACCTTATATAACCACCTCTCTGGAGGCCCTTGGGAGGCTGGGAGAAAATCTGAGAGTTCCGCCTCCTCCCTGACCCCTCCATCCTCCGCATCCGCATGGCTGTGGCCTGGGGTGGGCTCAGCCTGCAGGAAGTGACAGGCGCTGGGGTGCCCTGGAGGAGGCGTGCGATGGGAAGGCCCACGGAGAGGCCCTGTGCCCCGCCCCAGACCTGAGCACATCATCCCCCCAATAACACAGAAACTGTGACCTGCCCCGGGCGAGGGGGGAGGGAAGCCCAGGGCGCCGGGTCACGGGTCACGGGCCTGGCCTGTCGGGTTGGTGGGGAGGGAAGGTCTATTCGGGTCAAGTCTTGAATGATTGGATGTGAGCCCTGAGCACGCAGCACCCCGTAAATGCCTGTTGTTGCTGCCCTAACCCCTTCTTGGGGCCTCATGCCCGCAGTGGCCCCCAGTCACCCCCCAGCTGGCCTGTTGTCAGCCCAAAGGCAGAGAGGCCCGGGGCTGGTCCTGGTCCGGGAGATCGGTGCCGCTCACGCTTCCGCCCTTTGCCGAGAGGTGAAGGCGGGGCAGCTCTGCCCAGCGACGCTCTGGGACCGCCCTGAAGTCCAGGGTTCCACTGCAGGTTCAATGGAAATGCCATGTGGATTTTGGGCCCTTTGGGTCTAAAACCAGGGGTTTCCCACCTGTGAAGAGGAGGAAGTGGAAGGAGGGAGGGTTAAAACAAAAAGTGATGGCGTCCAGGCCCAGCGCCTGTGGTGATGAGGTTCACGGGGGCCCGCCGGTGGCCGCAGTGGGGGTGGGGGGCTCCCAGACCCCGGCGAGGCGCCCGGCAAAGAGCTGGCGTGGTCCCTGGGGAGCGAATGGAGGGGCCGCTCCATTTCTCACGTCAGCTGGGCTCCACCGGCTCTCCTGCTGAGACGGCTCCGAGGCAGGAGCCACGCCGCAGGCTCTGCATCCCGTGTACATCCTGTGTGCATCCCATGTGCATCCCGTGTGCATCTGTGTGCATCCCTCCTAAGGCACTGGGGGGCCGCGGATAGATCTCAGGAGGACACGGCATAAGGAACATGGCATCAGGGT